AGAGGCTGTCCGAGCTGGCAGCAAGGCGCTCAGCACCCACCCCCCCCCGCCCAGCATGTTTCAAGAGCAGGTTGTGAGAACCCAAGTTGAAAAGGAGCTCCCTTGCTGGCACACCCTGCCCTTCACCAGGGAAACCCACAGCACTTTGATGCTCAAACAAGGCAGTGCTGCAGCGGGCTGCCCCAGAGCCAGCCCCACCAGCACGCTCCTCCAGAGGAGGAAATGGTCTGCTCGAAGAGGAACAAAATGACACGTTAAACAGAGCTGGGAAGGAGACTGCTCAACACACACGTCTTTTGCCTATTAAAAAGGCAACAAGCTGTCAAGGTGGAAAGTCTCCTCCTTCTCCCAGAGGACGGAGACACGCCAGGCCTTCATTTCCTGACCCCCTCAACCACATCATTCAACCGTGACTTCCTGCAGGCAGCGCTTAACCCATCCAAAAAAAGAACATCCCTGCTTTTAAGGAACTGCCTCTCCCCCTCTGCAGAAGGGTCCTTACACCTCCCTTTCTGCTTCTCCTCACCGAATACAGCTCAAGCTGTCAGGCTTCGCCGGAGCACAGGGTGACACTTCCAGGCAGCCCCACAGCACACTTCCATTACTCCGTGCTTCCTTCAGGAAGGCAGCCCTGAGTCAGGGAGCTATCAGGAGCTCTGCAAGCCAAGGGCAGAGCTCACCTTGGCCTTCAAGGCCCATCATTGCTTCCCCAGGCCACAGAGATCTAACAGGGACATTCCTCAGGACCCAGGGGTCAGACCACAGGGTGAGTACAAGATGCCACTACACTGGGAGCGCTGATTCTCTCCCCTGTAGCAAGGCTCCAGCTAGCTGGGAGAAACACGCATGTTCCCATGACAACACCGCTATTCCAGCTGAATTCCTTATGTGGCTGCAAAGAAAGAGCCCAGCTGAGGTCTGGGAGTGGCCTCATCCCACCGCACGGCAGAAGCTTCTGCCATCAGCCTCATCACGGACATCAGACTTGGGCACTGGGGGTGAAAAAGCCTCCGCTTCACATTTTGAACAGAATCAACAGCAAAATCACTGGGCAAATTTGTAGAGAGTCACGCTCAGGCCTGAGCCAGCCACCTGCAAGGATCTGCCCTGCGTCACCCCATCCA